AGTTAAATTTTCAAACAGGTGGCAACCCTCCTCAAATATATTTTCAGCCGTAAACCTTAATAAGAATCTAAAGCTTCTTGCCGACATTGCAATATTTCATTTATTTTATCAATTTAACTGAGTTAAAATTTCGAAAAGGTGGCAGACTTCCTCAAAAATATTTCCTACAGTCATCTTTCAATTGTAATATGTCATTTATTTTATCAATTAAATTGAGTTAGGTCGTAACCCTCCTCAAACATATTTTCTGCTGTAAGCCTTCTTTAGTTTCGACACCCACATGGCAATACTTCATTTATTTTATCAATTTAATTGAGTTAAAATTTTCAAATAGGTGGCAACCCTCCTCAAAATTATTTCCAACAGTTATCTTTCTGAAACCTATTTAATTTGATACCCGTATTGCAATATTTCATTTATTTGATCAATTTAGAAGAGTTAAAATTTTTAAGTAGGTGGCAGCCCTCCTCAAAAATATTTCCAACAGCTATCTTTCTAAAACCAATTTAATTTTATACCCACATTGCAATATTGCAATTATTTATCAATTCGACTGAGTTAAAATTTTCAAATAGGTGGCAACCCTCCTCAAAAATATTTCCAACAGCTATCTTTCTAAAACCAATTTAATTTTATACCCACATTGCAATATTGCAATTATTTATCAATTCGACTGAGTTAAAATTTTCAAATAGGTGGCAACCCTCCTCAAAAATATTTCCAACAGCTATCTTTCTAAAACCAATTTAATTTTATACCCACATTGCAATATTGCAATTATTTATCAATTCGACTGAGTTAAAATTTTCAAATAGGTGGCAACCCTCCTCAAAAATATTTCCAACAGTTATCTTTCTTAACCCTCTTTAATTTGATACCAATATTGTAATATTTAATTTATTTCATCAGTGTAATTTAATTAAACTTTCAAACAGGTGGCAACCCTAATCATACATATTTTCGGCTGTAAGCCTACTTAAAACTCTTCAATTTGATATTCACATTGCAATTTTTCATTTACTTAATCAACTTAACTGAGTTAAAATTTTAAATTAGGTGGCAACCCTCACCAAAAATATTTCCATCAGTCATCATTCTTAAACCTCTTTAATCTGATACCCATATAGCAATAATTTATTTATTTTATCAATATATTTGGGTTTTAAATTTTTCAAATAGGTGGCAACCCTCCAATTTTTTGCGATATCATTGGTTCTGGTATTATACCGAACAATACATAAAAAAAAATTAT